ACACCCTGCTAAACTATGAAAGAAATAGTTGAAATTGATAAGGTACCATGCACCAGGTGCCTTGTTTTCTTGACTTAGTTTTAGTTTACTGGATTCGCCGACAGGCAGGGACACCACGACAGCTTGTGCCAATTTACTGCGGGCCCAGTAAACCCACCCATCCCACCCCCAGGGGAGGACATCCACCACACAGTAATCTCGTGCGTGAGAATTTAACGTCTCCTACCCCCAACCCTGCAGGAGACGGGACCTCCATTTATTCGTCCCTATCCAAGAAGACTTGAAAATCTAACCATTTCTTGATGTTATCGAAAGGTAGCAAATTCTTCTCAATTATTTTAAGACCATGAGTGTTGGTCCGGCCGGGGCACGAACCCTCGACCTCCCACACAACGGTCCAGTGCACTATCCATTGGGCTGACTTCTTTGCTGTTGAATCATATGATAAGGGGTGGAGAAGGTATTCCTTTACTGCCCACACTCTGAAACACTATTGCTCCTGTTTGCTTGGGTACAAAATCATGTCTTTGTTTTTTGATGAAATCAAGGACAAAAATCCAAGGTACAGTCTCAAAAATAGTAGAAACAGCAAGGAGTAATATTCATTAAGGGCAAACACGTGTACCTCTCAACCTACCAAGCAATGAAATCACTTTTGTTCAACTTAGTGTTAGTTTTAATTTATTCAGCATAGGCTTGTTTCCAATTCAAGGTAAGGTTGCCAAGGGACTCTGATTACTGGTGACAGGATTCAGTTGTAATGGCATGCATCCTCATCGGGCTTTGTGAGTGACCTTGAGGTCTTTTTCATGCTCACAACTTCCAGCATGCTGAGCGGTCCTCAAACCCACAATTCTTTTGCTGATGATGATATTTTCTGAAGAAATTTTGCCTGCAATGGGCGAAAAGTGTACCTCCTTGCAAGTGAACTGTACAGTATGGTGTAGAAATGACCTGTGATGAAGTTTCAGTGGAACTACCATATTTTGAACTAAAAAATCTGGAATGAGTCAGTCAATGAACAAATTAGGGGATTTTTGTATAATTTTTGTGGCTACTACCTTCTATACAAGAGGAAGAAAAGCCAAACATATTACAGGGATATGTGAGGGTAAGAAGGTTACAGCTAGTAGAAGCCAGACTTAAAGCGATTATGACCAAATTTCATTTATGGTTTATCTCAGAGTCTCTTTGTTGTTTGAAATTCGCACTAGAGACTACTGGGTGCAGCATGCACATAAGAAAGAAGAATGTGTTTAAAAAAATTATTTTTTGGGTAACAACACCCAAGATGTAATTTTCTCAATGTTAATTTCTGCGAGGCTACGTTCAAATCCCCTCATCATAGCCAGTAGCTCACACAATTGAAAAAACAAACAAAACTAAATAACACAAACCTTGCCTTGTAGGAGAAGCAAGCAAATGTAATGAGGGTATCATAGAAAGTTTGAAGAAAAATCTTACTATCGAAAATGGAGAATTATACTTTTCAGATAAGCAAACAGTTTTTAACAAAACCGAAGAAATAATCTTTTCAATGCTTGCTGCGAAACTATACAAGACAGGGATTACTTCACAAAGGCCTTTCGTGAATACGTGGTAAACAAATAAAAAGACTGTTTATGTATATTTTGAAAATGGTTTGCAAAAGGAGTTCTTTGGGCCCAATAACAAGGAATTTAATATGTCAGGTTTGCTAGCTGATTCACAACATTCTTTGACTGGGGCACTGGGAAACCAATTGCAAGGATCACTTGCTTTGATCTGCAAACAATCAACTATGAATAGTAAGGTAATTTCATTCTGTGTTTTACGAAAGGTTGATGTTGATGTCTGTGTTTTGTCTTTTCAGGATGAAGCAGCAAGTTTTGACTTTTTGGAGGGGGATAAAGATCCTTCATCAAGTGATGACGCCGTTAGTGTAAGGTACAGGACCACTGTCATCTAGACAAAAAGACACTGTGATAGACTGATACTCGAAGCATGGGGTCAAAAAGTCAATTAAGCCTAGCCTATTTCTATGGGATTAAGTGAACCTCTGACTGAGCTCTTCTAAGTCAAATTAGTTACATCTTGATATGTCTACAATGTGAATTTTCCCCGTAGATATAGTAACCCCCAATACCTATGCATCTGGGTATTATTGATTGTAATACGATTGCTTTTTCTGTGGCATACACAAAGTGTGTAGCCACATTATGGCACAATCGGATTCATTTATTTATTTATTTGTCCACGAGAGTCAAGTGCCTGTCACATGTCGTGTGCCGCACCAGTCTGAGTCAGCCATCTTGGTTGAAAGCGAGATCTCGAGTAATTTTTCCTTTTGATCGTATCACGAGTTAGTGCTCCTGACACACAAACCAACACACCCAGACCCGGCTTAATTGCGTTCGTAATTACTAAAACAAGGAATGACCTAAAACCACCTACAACCATCTAAAACGACCTAAAACCACCTTCAGAATGCTATTGTGACAATTTGTGACAATTTTATTGACAAATTTCAATGTAAATGCGCACCGGAAATGTTGTCGCATGTCGCGCATGTCATGACCAGGAAAAAACACAAAGAGAATTGTTTACACAGGAGCAGCACCAACAGCCATGAGGTTTTTTAAGTAATAGATAGACTACGTTTTTGAGGCCAGAGTTTTCGAGGTCTGCGTTTTTGCAGTCTGCTTTGAGGTCAACTAGACACCAAGCAGGACCCCCAGTAGCAGGAAATTTGATGAGGGTGCCTAATATAAAATTTTGCCTTTTGCTAAGAAATCGAAATCCGAGCAGCCATAATCATTTTAAATTGCTTCAAATTGGGCTGCGTAGTGAGCGTACAACAAAAAGACAAAACAGTTTAAAATGAGATACTATTATTCAAAGAAAAAAAACTTAATTGACTGAGAACAGGAAACTGGGAAAAAAACAATGACAGTTAAAACAATGTGACATCTCTGATAAACAGAACTTGCAAACCTCGCGAGATGCATATAGCTTACAAATTCCCTACAATTACCGCAGTTGCAAGCAGCATCCCTACGAGTACCACACGCGTAATAGATCGAGTCAATCAGCTCTCGGAACCTGCTACATGCTGGCTTTAATTTGTTCCGATTTTAGTTCTTGGTCACTGTTATATTACAAAACCTCATTAAATTTCCTGCTACTGGGGGTCCTGCTTGGTGTCCAGTTGACCTCAAAGCAGACCGCGGAAATGCAGACGTCGAAAACTCAGACCTTGAAAACACTGACCTAGAAAACGTAGTCTATCTATTACTCAAAAAACCTTAAGTCTCTTGGTGCTGCTCCTGTGTAAACAATTCTCTTCGTGTTTTTCCCTGGTCATGACATGCGAGACATGCGACAACATTTCCAGTGTGCATTGTCACAAATTGTCACAATAGTATTCTGAAGGTGGTTTTAGATGGTTGTAGGTGGTTGTAAGTGGTTTTAGGTCATTCCTTGTTTTAGTAATAATGGGCTTGAGTTATAACTGCAGCTTATGCAAGAGCTTTTACACTTTTAAAAGACAACATTTAACTACTTGAATCTTCTGTACGGGTTGTACTATGCTGAAAGAAGTCATTGCACTACTGCAAGCCAACAACTATCAGTTTGATCTATCGGTGCGGGTTGCAACACTGAGTGTCTGAAAGTGTTTGGAGCCAAATGAAAGAGCCATAAGGTGAAATAAGTTGTATTGTAGTTGCATTCTCCTTGCATTGTTGAGAATTCATGAGGCATATTTCAGAATGTTAAAAGTAAGAAAGAAAGTAAGAAATTCTTTGTTCAGAGAATAGATACTATCCGCACGCAACTTGACACCGATCAGCAGACTGACTCAGATCCAGAAGATGACATTTCTTCTGCTGATAAAATTGTGCCACCATTCTTTACTTTTACGATGCTATCAGTTCGAGATGTTAAACAGCTTATCCAGAACTCTACCCCTAAATCCTGCCCTCTTGACCCTATGCCGTCCACACTGGTTAGCAAATGTGAGGATCTTTTTCCAGTTCTCACAAAGATCGTTAACAACTCATTACAGTCCGGATGTTCTCCTGAAATTTGGAAAGAGGCTTTAGTTTTTCTATTTTTAAAGAAACCCGGTCTTGATGTCATCTTTGAGAACTTCCGTCCTGTGAGCAATTTGTCTTTTGTGTCTAAGCTCATTGAAAGGGCTGTTTTCAATCAGATTCATGGTCACCTTGTTTGTAATAACTTATACCCAGTTGCGCAGTCGGCTTCTAGAAGAAATCACAGCACTGAAACAGCACTTTTGAAAGTAATGAACGATATTCTGTTAAAAATGAACAAACAGCACGTGACTATCGTTGTACTGCTTGATCTCAAGGCTGCTTTCGATACCGTTGATCATAGCATTCTCCTTAACAGATTATCGTCCAAACTTGGTTCGAATGGCACGGCTCTTGCCTGGTTTCGATCTTATTGTCTGGCCGTTCCCAGCGAGTGTCTGTTCGGGTAGCTGTATCTGATAAGTTCGACCTGCGATATAGTGTTCGTCAAGGCTCGTGTCTCGGCCCACTTCTCTTTACAGTTTATGCAAGCGCACTGTTTGATGTCGTGGAGAAGTACCCCCCAACTGTCCATTGTTATGCCGATGACTCTCAGTTATATATCTCGTTTAGTCCCACGGCGCACTCTGGCCAGGCTGATGCAGTCTCTTCTATCGAACATTGCATTCAGGACATCGGGCAGAGGATGTCTCAAGACAGGTTGCTCATGAATGATGCCAAAACGGAACTTCTTTTGATCGGCACCAGACAGCAACTTGCTAAAATCACAATTGATGGCATAATTGTTGGACACTGTCATTACTCCACAATCTCCCGTTCGGAATCTGGGTATGTGGTTAGATTCTAACCTATCAATGGGTGATCACATAACGAAAACAAGCTCTGCAGCATTCTATTATTTGTATAATATCAGGAGGATAAGGAAGTACCTTAGCAAAAAATGTACTGAAACTCTGATACATGCTTTTATTTCTAGCCCCCTTGACTATTGTAATAGCCTCTTATACGGCTTACCAGCGTATCAGATTCAAAAACTGCAAAGAGTCCAGAACTCTGCCGCACGTCTTGTATTTGAAGAAAGTAAATTTTGTCATATTACACCATTACTGAGAGCCCTACACTGGTTACCCGTAGCATATCCAATTGTTTTTAAAATTTCATTGTTAACTTTTAAGGCCATTCATATGCTTGCTCCGACTTACATTTCCTATCTTTTATCTCTGAAAGACACAGGGGGTAGGTACTATCTTAGATCAAATGACGGCAAACTTCTTAACATTCCACCATGTAAGTCTCTTTTCACGCTTGGTGATCGATCTCTTTATATGGCTGCTCCTAAATTATTGGAACGATCTTCCCCTTTTTATTAGAAATAGATCTTCACTTAATGCTGTCAAGAGGGCTCGTAAAACTCATTTTTTCCAGAAGGCGTTTCCCAGCTAATTTATTGTTTTTATTCTTTTCATAAAGAAGGATTTGTAAGTAGGACTTTAAAGATTGATTAGTTATTGTAAATAAGATTTTTTGTTAATTGGAATATGTTTAGGATTTTAAGATTTTGTTGGGTCAATGCAATGCGCAGATGAAAATTTTTTTCTTTGGATTGATATTTGCGCAATACAAATCAATAAATATTATATTATTATATTTACGCAAGATCAGGTCCTTTGGAAAGTTGTAGAAAGAAACAAGCCTTCCGTTGACATCTAAATAGCCAGTTTGCGTGCATTTCGGCACACAGCAGTACGTTGGCATGATGAAAAAGCTCTATATGATCCTATATGGACAGACTCGATGTTGATGCCTCGATTAGCTTCGCTATATTGCAGGTAGTCTTAATTCATAAGTTAAATTGTGATTATAAATAAAAAAAATGTTGTTGTTGTTGTTGTTGTTGATGGTATGTATACTGACTAGCCTCGTTTTCGATTATTTTCACCACCAGTCCATCCGCGCGAGCCGAGCTGTCCGCCATTTTTCGAATCGGTGTTATGATAGTAGAGAGATTAAGCACCACGTATTTTTTTCCCGCGAACGGCGTAGAGGGTCACGTGACCTGACATTTCCCACGTTTGCCGTTTCTACTCGAGGAGGACATTTTTCCCGTTTGTAGGGAACGCGAAAACGCGAGTATTTGCAGCCCGTTTTTACCGACTATTTCTACATTTTGATCGCTTGCTTTTATAGCTAAGCTTCGTTTATCATCTTACTTCTATATGAACTGCTTGTAAAGCTAATTGAGTTGAAATTCAAGCACAAAATACATTACTTCTTTGTATCCATTATTTCGAGTCGCAGTGAATGATGACCTAGTTCCCAGTTCTGCCGTGTCGTCGGGAAGCTTAAACAGACGAACATCGCGAACGGAACGGCAAACGACAAACGTCTAGCTGACGTTCAGTGTTCGCCGTTTTCGCGGTGCTTAATCTAACGTAGTTTCTGGTTGTTTTACGGATTGTAGTCTTTTGAACAGTCGTAATTCGACTTAGCAGAAATTTTACGTTAAGGATTCAACTGTACTTTGGAAGTTTTTTGACCAGCTTACACCTTAATCAATTGCCAGTGTGAACATTCAACTTTACCTTGGGATTAAGGGTGGTAAGGTTTTCTTCAAACTCTTTGTATTTTGTACTTCATGCAAAGACTTTGCACCCGCCCACGAAATTCCAGGCGTTGGTCACTCCGAGTACGATCTGGCAGTCCATGGTTTTCGTATATTTTGTTTAGTTCCCGAGCTACACTCTAACTTGACATCTTCGTCATATGCGCGAGCCATAGATAATAAGTAAACGCATCCATGACAGAAAGAATGTACTTCTAGGTCTTCCCGGTAAACCCGAGTGGCTGCTTAAGTCAATCAAAGGAATATGGTGTTGAGATTTTTATGTTCTGACAGGCTGTGGTACACCTTTGTTTTGTAAGTAGTGGGTTGTGACCACCATGTTTAACATTGCTTGACGGGACTTTCCTTGTCCCTTCCTTCGTTAAGTCCTTTATAACTGTCCTCTGATCCATGCTGTAGGTTTTTGTAACCTGCCGAATTGGTTTCTTTGAATTTTCTCGAAACAATTCCAGAAACATTCGACTTCTTTCCTTGCATTGAAATATCGCGTGAGGCTTACCTAAGGTCTGAGGGTAGAAAGTTCCTTCCTCCTCCAGAACTGAATCACAGCAACTCTCCTGAGAGCTCGGCCACTTACACAAATAAAGTTATCTTTAGATGAGAATTAACATCGTCTCATACGTATCGTCACCTACAGTGTGCAAAAAGTATCGAGCCCTTTTTTTCTTTCTCTCCACCCTCTTCCTGTTTTTTACAACAGAAAAATTATCTTCACTTTGGGCTCCTCAAACTTCCTTTAACAGAAAGCAAGGTGATAAGTCTCGTGGTGCGAGCCATTGAGAATTTAATTATGTTTAAGTAGAAGTCAAGTCATGATTTCTGGGTCAAGGCCATCAAACTCCTGCTTGACTTAGACCAGAAAGTTTGGCCTCAACGTTCTAACTCGTGCCAATACCATTTTTTCTTCGTTTATCTGTTTTTTTGAGTCAAAATTACGATTATTGCAATTTTTCTTTTTGCAAATTTTGCAATAGGAGGATCATTGCAAAATGTCAGAGCCCTTGTTACAAAATACGTAGGTCATCTTCAGTAGTACAAAATGCTGCAATAGTTATTGCAAGGTTCATGAATTTTTACAAAATGCCAGAACCATATTTCAAAATGCGTCATTATTGCAAAATGCTGCAGAATAACAATTTTCCAAGCTTTCGCGAATCCTCAGCATGGAAGATGATTATCGATCATTGCTTGGAGGCTTGTTTTTTAATTTTTACAGTAAGTTGAGGTCACATTGGAAACTAAGATACCAGTGGTAGTAATGTTTGCAAGGTTTCCTGAGTTGTCTCCTTTCTCAGACTTCCAGCCTTTTTGCTCTATCGTCTTCAGGGCAGGAGGGTTTAGCACATCCAAGGCCAACTTCAGTCATTAAGCACGAATATCCAGCTCAATTAGTGATGGGTAAAGATCTAAAAGCAGAGATAATACACAGCCGTTTATATTTATTTGATTGTTATCTAAAGTGAACAATTTTTCTCTTAACCAGCCATGGTAACAGTTGTGCAGGTATTATTGCAGCAGTGGCAAATAATTCTTTCTGTGGCATTGGAATAGCTTATTCTGCAAGAATTGCTGGTGAGTTTTATAATGACTTTCATCTATATCGTTAAGCTGAACTAGGATCTATCCATTAATGTGTTAGTCGGCCGGGAGAAAGTGTTCCAGAGGTTGGAATATGGGTTAACCAATTTATTCGTTGCTCCTTATTCGTTATTCGTTACGGTGGCCAATTTACAATTTCATCTTAGTTGATGTAACCAAATTACAGTTTTGATGAAACTTGTTGCGAAGATTGATTTTGGTAAAATATTTCAGGGGCCTCATTTTATGCGTCCAGATAATGAAAAATCATATTAGCACTGGATTAAGATAAACAAAATAAGCATATTCACTTATTTATTTCTCCCACTTTTTGACTCCATCGCTGAAATTGTCCAAAGATTTGAAACTTTGGAAGTCAGCTCCATGCAATTTGTTTTATGCAATATTAATGTGGGAAATCCCAAGGTAGCCACTTAGGTAGCCAATTAGAACACAGGATTAGCCTCGTATTGCCCACAGGTGCTGTGAGCTGTATGATTTAAGGACTGTTACTTTCTGCTACACATGCTACATACATACTAAATACATATTACCACTTCATACACAGTTGGTTACCCCGCAGTACAATACAACAACACCAGACTCGAAATGCAGACATTGATGACGCCCTGGTAACGTGAAATCTTCAGTTTATTTTTTTTTTCTGCTCTATGTTCCAGGTATTAGGATTTTGGGTAAAAACGCACTCACTGATAACTTAAAAGCAAAGGGCATCAGTTTTAAGCCGGATTATGTGGACATATATTCCAATAGTTGGGGCCCTTCAGATAGTGGGTTTGAAATCGGAGAAGCTGGTGTGGTTACTGAAGAAGCCCTTAAGCAAGGTGCAGTCAAGGTAGGACATCATTGTTTTAAATTTGTGGAGTCAGTTGCAAATTGACCGTGATATTCATTGTGTAATATTTATCACTCCCTGTAAGGGTTTTATGTTAACAATAACATCTGTTTTGCATGAAATGATGCTTGCATGTTTGTCTGTGGAGATGATCTCCCAGATGCCAACAGTTTTCCAAAAAGACTTGTAAGCTTTGAGGAACAAATAATATCTAACAACAAACATACAGTCAAGCCTTCTTCTGAGTCAAAGGGAGGCTACCATGTTTTTTACTGTGCAAAATATTTCTGAAGCGGGCTAGACTGAATGATTTCACAGTATTGCTCTAAATGTTTAACGTATGGGATGTTTCCTTGGTGGGGTTCTCTTGTTTGATTCATGAACAGTTTGATAGTTTCAGGAATATCACCCCTAGAATGTCTTTGGATGTTACCCAGTTTTTGTTAGGACGTTTAGACCAGCGCGAAAACATGTGAAGATTTAGGGCGAGCAGTGTTTTATGTGTATGAGGTGCATCAAGCGAGAATGCGTGAAAATTAACCTTAAGAAGTTGACCTCCAATACTTGCCTATATCACAAATAGTAATGGTATCTATTAACTGCATAATTGTATAGTGCTGAAATTCGTTTCCTGGCCTAAGCGCTTTCTATTAAGATGACAATTAAAGTTCCTAAATGATCATAATTGTAAATGAAAGCTAAACATTAACAATATGTGTTTAAAAAAAATGAATAAATACTTCGTGAAAAGTCTGTACATTTAACAAGTAAAGAAGCCTTGAATATGCTCTGTTCTGCTGTAAAGTACATAGGAAGCAACTAGAGCACAAAAGGAGTGGAAACACACGACATAGTAAATTGTTTCTCTTTACTTCCTGAGTAAAATGAAAGTGAAATGTTTTGTGAAATCCGACTAAACTGTGGCTCGTGAAAACCCATAAGCTTTTTTAACATAGCAATTGAAAAACAAACTGTTCAAGGCCCTGTGGTTTATAAAATAACAACAGCCAAATTCACAGGAACATGAAGTGACAGCGTCAGTAAAATTCGGCTGCTGTGACTGTTGTGGCTTTCCACTTAACACATCGGAGAGGATATCAGAGCAAATTCTTATTTGTTCACTCAAAGGACAGGCGATGTAATTTCTGAGGCTTTACCAAAGATCGCCATGATGAGCTAGCCACGATGGAGCACAGCATGATCACACTCTCTCTGAAACCATGATTTGTATACATTTTAAGAGTTATACCAGTTTGGTTATATTTTCACTACTCCTGTTTTGTTCTGAAGCAACATATACTACACGAGTGTTTCCTGTGGTTGAGTTTTATTACCACTTAAGCTTATGACAATCTAACTGTGTGGAAACCTTGAAAACTTAGACGGTCCATTTTGTTTTCTATCAGCTGATTTTTGTCTCTGCCCACGTTATAATTTCAACAATTGCGACGTTTGACATGTTCGCAAACCTTTGTTTGGTTCTTCTGTTCTTACTTGTCGGTTTGCTGGTTCCAAAATTTACATTCTATCTCTGGTAATTTGTGCTGTGAGCTACAAGCTGTTTTGTATCAATTAAAGCCAAGAGCTTGTTTCTATATTTGTTCTACAGATCATGCGAGACTTGTGTGTATCCAAAATTTTGGTTTAAATTGTATTTACGCACAAGTCGGTAGTGGCAGAAATCACACAAGTGAGCACAGTGATCAACTGAGATTTCTGTTACAAGCCGATGAGTCTGAAAATACCAAATGGACAGACTTTCCATGATGCATTAAGTTTATTCAGTTATAAACATTTGGAGATTCAATTCTTATTTAATGCTAATTTATTGTTTAACAGATTCAAGTTAAAGGCTCATAAATAAATCAAGATGTGTACCATATAAATTTCCCTGCTGATAGAAATAATGCAAAACTACCAACACCATGTGCAAAATACTAAAATACCTCTTAATATTTGAAACAAAGCATCTTTAGTATCTTTTTTTAACTTCAAGGAGACTTTTCCGCTCTTTTGTGTTCTTATTCTAATATTGTAAATTTGTGTAACAATAGGACCACGCGCTCGATAGTACTTAAGCAAGTACGTTGTAAAACTTTGTTCCTTACATTTTTGATTACATCCTCGAATTCATTTAGTGATTACTAAGTTGACGACGCTAGAGGTCATGTCGTTTGTAGGCCTGACCTGGAATAAAAGTTACTGTAGAACCAAATGCTGTCTCCCCATTGACGTCCGTAAAAGCTCGCTTGAAGTAGATCGCCGTGTATGAGGAAATCGTGACGAGTTTCCGTTCTCGCTGCCGAGTCGTCTCTACCAAGCTAGTTTCCCCCATTGTTGTTGTGCCTTCCGTGAGAGTTTAGTTTGTTTGCGAAAACGTATCGTCACATTCGACCAGCTTGTGAATGACAATTTATTTCGTGTCATTTCAGTATGTAAATCTCATGATGTCTATAATGAAAAGAAATGCATATGAATTTAATTTTAATTTGTAATAAATGTGTTTCAGGTCATCATGACCTCATTGTTGAAATTTTAATTTAGGAGGTTCTAGGTAATTTCAATTTTAAAATGTACTACAACAAGGTTACTTGTTGTGTGTTAAGTAAATGGTAGGACAGTAGAGGGATTCTAGAAGTACCGTGCAAAAGTAATGCAGACGATAATTACCGATTAGAGCATTAATCGAGACATGTTAGCAATATTTGTGTGATATTTCAGTTGGGACGATGTACAGGCAGTATATCGCAGGGCTATTGTTGTAACAGCCGCGATATATCGCCGATGATGAGCACCTCGCAAATTATCCTTTTCCCTAAGTGATATATCATTTAATCCAAACGATTTATCACTACAGCTCAACGATATATTATTTTGGCTTCCTCGATATATCTTTTACATCCAACAACATATCACTACCACCCAGTAACATCATTTACCCTTAGCGATTGCGTTAACGAAAAATATATATGGCACTTCACTTGCATACTCTTAACGTGAAAGCTAACGGCAATAAATGCTAGGTGTAGCTTTATAGTCGAGTTTTGTGTACAGATGATGTTTAATAGTGGGGTTATGCTTTAATACAGGGTCGAAAAGGACTTGGTTCAATATTTGTGTTTGCTGCTGGAAATGGAGGATATAATAAGGACAATTGCGCCTTCAATGGTCTCGTGAATAGCATCTATACCATTGCTATAGCAGGTGTAAAGAAAGATGGCTCATTGCCAGGATATGGCGAAAAATGTCCTGGAATTTTAGCTGTTACATTCAGCAAAGCACTGTTTTCCATTTTAGACAACGCCAAGCTGGTAAGTTCAGTTGCAGGGAAACCAGATGGTTCGTCTCATTTTAGTGCACTACTGGTTCTTTCACTTGTTCACTTTGACTCTGGGCTTGAAACGATAAACAAATAGTTAATTGCTTGGTTGATGGACATATGTTTGAATTGAAGTTTTTTTATCTGTCTGAAGGTGAATACAGAAAGGGGGCTAGCTTATTGTATTTGGGAAACGAAACGAAATAAAAATGTGCAATTTGCGAAATAGAAATCCGTAAAAGAATTGTGAACATGGTTGAAACTCAAGAAAATCAAAGAGCTTGAGTTCGTTCCATTTTCCCCAGCATACGTAATATCTTATCTAGAAACATGTTTCAACATTTTCTACGTGTATATTTGGTCAGGAAAATGACTTGTCACGCATTTGAATTATTCATCGACAACGTACACTGCGTACACCTTATATACATTCATTCAGCTACAGTGTTGCTAATATTTTCAATTACATTTGCTCTTTACGGTGCAACTCTTCTTTCACATAGGCGACGCGATGATTTATTCACGAATGTAGTGGAGATTTCACAAAGAACACTTCGCAGATTTTCATTTATCACTTTCACTAGTGGTTGTTTGATTTGGTAGACTTTGTATGCAATCCACACTTGTAGTGAACTGGCCAATTCATTCTGGCCGGCCTCTGGAGTTTTCTGCTGAGATTCTCGTTCCCAAACCATTAAAACATTTCTACTTTGCAAAGTACAGATTTCTACTTCGCAAATTACAGATTCCTTTTTATCTCACAAATCATTAACAGATTTCTGTTTCACAAATTACAGATAACTACTTCGTTTCAATTCGAAAATTACATGTCCACAAGGGACCAAACAAAGCCACGGAAATGTAGGAAAGAAAAGTAACGAAACAGAGACAAACAGAAGGCATTGGGAAAGAAGTAATTGGGAGTCACTGAAGGTCTGCTGTAATTGCAGCTTCTTTAAGTTTAAGGGTAACAAGGATTTCATCTCCTTCCTCAGATAACGGCAGACGAAAAAGGGAAATGTACAGAACACTTTAGTGGTAGTTCAGCAGCAGCAGCAATGGCGTCAGGACTGATTGCGTTAGCTGTCGAGGCAAAGTAGGGTGTCAATTACGATTTCATTTAATTAGTATATGATATAACAATGGCACATGCATGTGCAATTGAATAGGGGCTGGGTTCCATCAGCATTTTAGAAAGAATTTCCTTCAATCTTGGTTTGTTAAAAACACAAAAACAAAACAAAATCTCCATAGTTTAATCATACAGAAGCAAAGTTTGACTTGCCTTTAAATCTGGAATTAATTTTTAGGTCAATTCCATTTTCTCTTACTGTATGGTGAAATAGTTGTGAACCTTTTCATGCCTTAAGACCTTTGGATAATTGGCTCCAGCTTGAAATCATGTTGGGCATTTTAGAACTTAAAGAGCAAGTAAACTTATCCATTTGACTCTTGTGTTCCGGACATCATTAAAAGGATTTCATTTTTGACTTTCCCACCATACTTTGTGCTCTATTCCTGAGGCATTTGAAGTGACATCCTTTCAATTTGGTGCTGTGAGAGTTGTATCATCTTAAGGATATGGTAAACCTTCACAAGTTTCCGTTTTAAAGGGACACGGTCACGGTCTGCGCATGCTCGTGTGGCCGATCGAAACTTGAAAAAGTCATCTTGACTTTTTCAAGTAGCATTCACAAATTCAAAATGGCGTCTAGCGGAGGATCCGGACATGGCGGAAAACGCATTAACTCAGGGCGGAAAACGCATTAACTCAGGGCGGAAACGAAAGGTTGAAGACAAAGGGGAATACAAGAAAGCGTGGCTGAGGAACCATAAGCGTATTTATGTGGAAGAAAAGACATTTAAGTTGTGGCTGCAGGAAAAATTTGATGCAGGTTATGAGTCATTCAGCGACAGCGATTTTACTGATAGGAAAATAAAATAATGCCAGATATCACAGACATTTGTAGCATTTGCGAGGCAGATGTTTATTCTACTACACATTATAATTGGAATACAGGTAAGCCTCAGGCGAACTCTACGGCTTTCATAAATATAGGCAGATGACGACTTTTACGCGTCGAAATCGATACCGTCGGATTTAATTCTCTTCCCAAATGCAGTGCCTCTGGTCAGAGGTGTCATTTTGAAACACATAAAGAAAACGTATGCATTTCATTCGACGCGACGCTAGTGCGACGTTAAAAAAGAGAAGACGCATTATCGATATTTTATCCGTCTTACCAAGACGGATAAAACGTCAAGGACGAATTTAATTCGTTTTAGTAGTCGCGCCATCGTCGAATTTAATTGCTTGTGGGACCTTGGATTAAATTCGTCTAAATTAAATTCGACTGTAGCGCGACGTATAAACTAGGCCTTAGCCTTGTAGAGTTTTTTTAATAACTCTTTGTTAGCGTAAAGAAAGGTATGTTACTCGCACCTATCAGATGGCAGCATTTGGGTATGTATCACGCACCAATCAGATTACCGTATTAGGTTATTGTCTCGCACTAATCAGATTGCCGCATTAGGGTACGTATCACGTACCAATCAAATCGCCACATTAGGGTAGGTATCTCGCACCAATCAGATCACAGCACTGGGGTATGCTTGCATCAAACATGGTGTCGTCCCTTTTGCCAATCGTGTTAGGAAATTTAGTTACCACGATACGTTTCTACCATTTAGAAGTTAAAACGTGTTTTGTATACCGCACCTTCAATTACAACGCACACACCGTCAGCTGAAGGTCTAACAAGAAATTATCACTAGAGCTTTTTGTTTTGGAAGAGCTAGTTTTGCTGACTCGTGTAAAACTTGCGCAAAGCATTTGCATCGAGTATATTTAATTGATAATCGTGTTTTTGCCCTGCAACTACTCTTTTTGCGAAGTTTGAAAAGACCACCAAGTTTTATTTATTTTCTGCGTCGACTGCCTTCTTAAATATCCGTTTCTTTGCTTCTAAAAGTTCTCCATGAATGAAATATCGTGTTTAAACGGTTCTTTCCCACTACAATTACGTGTTTACTTTTGACTCGTCACTAAGGAATAGACTTTCCCAGTTGCGTAGCATGCCTGTGTTTCTTATAATTACTCCACGCAAAAAAGATGTCTTGCAATTGACTCTTTGACATTATTACATCTATTTGGAGTACCTTCGGATGATGAGAGTGAAACAAAACAACAATGTTATTAGCAGCAAATGAGAACTGAGAGCAAATTAAAGTATCTCCTACTTCTTCCAAGAGACAAAGCATTGTTTTGTTAAGAAAGTTCTTGAGTTTCTAGGGCCATAATCGGAAAAATACATGTGAAACTCGCCCAAACCAAACAATTGACATAAATTTAGCTGCTGCATTGTGTACTTTGGTTGGAATTCTCGACTCCCTCTAAAAAATTACCCTACTGGAGTACCCAATGCATTGTGGTTAGAGTGGTATCAAAACCACCAAAATGGCTCACAATTTCCCGCGAAGTTCTTCGTTGAATTCTTTTACCGATGTCTCTTCTGACCCTAGCTCTCCTGAGAGCTCTAGAGCAGTTCAAAAAGAGTCGATTGTGCATTAAGAGAATTTATATCATGCTGGGTTAGGCAGCTAAAACGATGGGAATACCTCCATAAGAGAACCGCTTTGAGAGATGAACGACAACAACACCAGTCCTGATTGTAGTACAGCTATTGCGTGGGGTAAAAGTCTGAGAAGCATGCCGCCATTCGGAGAAAAAGAAATTGACAATCGACTAATCCACAATTCGAAGACCATGCCCGACCTAAACGCCCGATTAGCGTACAGAAATAAAAAGCAAGGCTACAAAGTTTGGAAGGAAGGGTATGTACGAAACGTTTTTACTAAAACTGACATTCTCTCTGGGGTTAAACTGCTTTTCTGGTTAAAGCTAATGTTTCTGCTTCAATGAAGCAACAGAACCATTTGGTCTGCTGTCATCTAGACCGGCTTTATGGTGAAGTGGCTTTCAGTAATTGCAACTATAAATCTGCATTTGTAAATCTGTTTGTTATATCTTTTGCGTGACTACAAAAATCTCGAACTGGAAGAAGTCCCGGATGATGTGACCTGCACTCAAAAGCTCCAGCAGTGGAGTATTCCATCCAACTCTGGTACGACAAAAGCAGTCAAGTTTGAAGAACTGACTTTTGAGAAAGCTGATTACGCTAGAGACAAAGAAAATAAAAGAAAGCGTCCACTGGTCTAAGGAAAACGAGAAAATTATTGTTCTACTCCGCCATATGGAAAGAAGGTACTAGATTTTTATGTATTTGTTTTGTAGAAAAAAGTGATTAGAATGTTGGCATTGCCAAAGGTGTTTTGTTGCATTTGTATATTGCATATTTTTTTCTGATGGTGTTTGATTGAATAATTTTTCTATTTTTTAGGTTCAAACTGATGAATTAAAAGCTTTATATACACCTATACAAAAAAATGGTAAAGCTCAATTATTATGCGCAACTATGGTCGATAATAACTTTGAACCAAACAGCACTTTTGAAGCAAGCTGTACAGTTCAAAAGAAAAACCAAGAAAAATCTGGTGATAGTTTTAAAAGAGTTTTATTATTTAAAAGTATGTCACAGTTGGAGGTTGAGCTGAATATTTCACCTCACACTCTACAACGTATTGATAACAATGTTGTTGTTAGCAAAGATGAGGCTGTGGCCATGTAGGTCTCAACTAGACTTCAACGAAAAAGCAAAGATTGGTTTAAGGAGATACAAAAAAGATTGACATCGTCATTATTTGGAAGGGTGATCAATTGAAGGGAGAGTATTGCTCCTGTATCAGTTGGAGAAAGCATAAGTAAAACCAGTACATCAACATCTAGGAGGCAGTGTGGCCGAGTGGTTAGAGTGTCGGACTCGTAATCCGCCGCTCCCGAGTTCGAGTCCCACCCTGACCACTGGATCTGTTTCACGGTAGCCCCGAGTTCAGATCCTTGGCCTTGCTTGTAAATGCCAACTGGTTTGCCTCCGACTGGTTGGGGTTCTTAATGATGTTATGTTCAATTTAGACCATTTCTTTCATTTGTTTGCAAGGACCACAATGGAAACTACTGGTTCACCAGTAATTGTGTAATCCTATAAAAAGACTTTTTTTTTTCTTTTTTTTTTTTTTAGGATGTCCCCTTCATTGAAGTGGGGAATTGATGATGAACATGTTGCTCATGAAATGTACGAGTCCAAGAGAGGGGAAGAGGTTGCTGACTGTGGGTTGATTAGGAACCCTTCCTGGTCCTGGCTTGTATTTAGCCAAGATGGCATTGTTTGTAGGGAAGCAAATCCAATAGGAGCCATTGAGATTAAGCTAACATTGTTTTATGCTCAGTACCTTGTGGATTAGGCCAAGGATTGCAACATTTCCTTTGATCTTTGTAAATGAACAGTTGAGTTAATCTAAAAACCTGAAATGGACTTTTATTGGTTCCACTACAACAATTTTTTGCATTTATATATTCTATCGTACTTTTAAGGTAGTACAATTTTAAATAAACAAATTCGCCAGAGGGGTAGATAATGCGACAACTGACATCCAAGAACACTTTATAGCAGAAATCTGAAAACATTTTATTCAAGGTTATGTAACAAAAGTGTAATAACAAAATCTATCACAGGTCATTGCTTTGATTCCTTTGAGTTCAAGGATAGAAAATGTTGAACATTCTCAAAATAAAAGGGTAGTGTTTTCTATGAATAAACTGCACATGTAGTTAGAGTGAGTTCGTTAAACCAGCGAAACAAAATTTAACTTTCAAGTGTGATAGTTAAATAGACACAAAAGAAAACAATGGAATTAGAGTGTACTAAGGTGTAGTAGTATAACATACATTTCATCGGATTTTACCTCTCCCTCTTTTTTTCTACTCACTTTCTGCAACGATTGGTTGCAAAAATTGCATAAGTATGTGCAAATTACCCATATTTTGTTAGGTCAGCAGCCATTGATAATGGGAATTACATTTTCCAAATTCTAAAGCATTTGATTCTGCGAATGGCCCACTTTACATGTATGCGTAGTGCTGCAATCCATCTCGTTTCTGTTTCCTCCTCCAATGACAAATGGTCATTCTCCAAAAGAAATGGTGGGATATTAAGTGAAACATTCTTTGGTAGCACATCCTCAATGTCAAATCCCTTATTCCCCATAATCATGCTGTCACCCCTCTTCAAGTACAGAAAGTATTCCACAATCTTTAGTAGCCTCCTTATCACTTGTTCCTCCTGAATATAGATCAGAACTAAATGTAATCATTCCAGATGGTGCAATGTCTACTAATCCTTTAGCAGTGTTGTGGTGTTTGTAATTGGAGTAGGTCTTGCTCTGTGATTTTAGAAAGCTTGACGTTTCTATAAACAGTTCGGTGCAGTCTATTATAACTCTAGATTGAGGGTAGGAATCCTTAAAGCTCTGAGTCATTGTCTCATTCACAACTGTCCTTGTGGGCCATATTGGATGACTTCTAAATCTTGTGTGTAAGAAATCATGCCATGTCGGGGACAATTTGCAGAGAGATATTCTGACGCGTAGTTGTAGAATAATATAAACGCGTCAATAAAGATCATCTCATGATTGTTGACAACCTCGGACCCGACAACCGCCAAGTACAAACATTTCCACCATTTGTGATATTTTGTGTTGTCTTGAATTATCTACGCCTACGGTAAAAATTTAACAAAAGAAAAACTTGAATTAACAACTGATCGGGGTAGAAGGAAAAACCTGATACTTACATTTTCTGTGCAATTACCGGTAACTGTAGGGAAAAAACAAAAAAACTGCAACAAGCATAGCATTTACGGTCCCCGACACGAAACTACTCTTAAACCACAGCCATGTGCTACTGAACCACGTGATCTAATCAATACCAGTTCGCAATTCGTTCATTCGGCCGCTAGTCGGCCTAAACATGCCAAGTTATACAGCTTCTAGAAACACGGGATGGAGAAATTCCAACTCTACATGCTAAATCTTCCTCTAGTAAACCACATCTTACCCTTGCAAGGACCTTAAAAAATTCTTGTTCTGCGGCAAGAGTCCTTTTTCTTCTCCGTTTTCTCTGATCATAGATTGTTAGTCTCTCTGAGTTGGTGTTAGTCATAATAAATCGGAGTTTCTACTACAGGACCAAAAGATTCAAAAATACTTCTAAAGACTGTAGTCTCCAAGTCCAGTATAAAATTTCAAAAGATGAGCATCTTTAAATCTTTCAATTGCAAATGATTTCTTGAAGACTTTGTTGTCTAGATCCTTAATTGCTTTCTAATTCCACTATTCGTAAGCTTAATTCTTTTTTTTTCCTTGCAATCTTCATGTTCATTTACTTCTGAGGTGTAGTCAACACTACTGCTTTAATTGAAGTGAAGTTCAGTCATTTCGAGATCAATTCTTTTACAGCCAGCTCGAGACAAATCCGTATTTAGGTGAAAAGTTGCACGATTCCTTGCACTTTGAGTCGGACGGGGTTTTTGGTACAATATTTGGAATATTATTGTCGTATGTTTTAGCGCCACCAGGAAGATGGGCTGAACAAACACGATGATGAGGGCTCGGTTTAAAGTTTTTTCGACTTACCAAGAGAATCTGTTTCTTTCTTAATTGCTGTTTTTCTTTACTTTGACCTTGGGGAAATCTATAGAAGTGTAAATCTTTATTTTTCTTGTTGTTGTTGTAGCATCCTGGAACACAGCAAGTGTACCCGCCTCGTGTCTTTAGGTTTTGTCCCGTAAAACCATCTGATGGCGGTGTTTTATCTTCAACATTGTTCGTATAATCTGGAGGTGGCTCATTTGGCTCTTTCTGAACCGTTCTAAAGCTCTTAGGAGAGCCAGGTTCTGAAGAGACATCGGTAAAAGAATTCAACGACGAACTTCGCGGGAAATTGTCCGATATTTCGTCAGTTTTGATAGCACTCTAACCAAAATGCATTGGGCACTCCAGTATGCTAATTTTATAGAGGGAGTCGAGAATTGATTCTTATTTTATTTGCAGCAAGTAACTCTGTGGGATTTGGCCTAATGGATGCTCATGGCTTAGTTTCCTTAGCAGTTAACTGGACGACAGTGCCTCCGCAACTAAACTGCACAGTGTCTCGAATTTCTGTGAATAGGTTTGTAAATGGATATAGGGTGGATGAAATGATAATACAAACAAGGCCGCTTGTCAATATTCATCTGAACAATGTAGATCCATGAATACCAGTGGTAATATCTACTTCTTAAATGACCTTTTCTTTCTTAACTACCATGCAGCTTCCAAGTTTCATCCAAAAACCCTGACAGTATCGTTCCCACCGAACCAAGCAGTGGCATTATGAATTTTTCTAAATATAATTATATTGTGAATTTAATCTCTGCTTGCCAGGAAATGCTGGACTTCAGATCTGAGACTCAATTCATAGTTTGAGATCACTTTATTTGTGAGAAAGCGTTAAGTCTCGATGATAAACCTTCAGTTACGGCACATCTATTTCTACAAAAAATTTTCACTCCTCTTGTAAGCGAGTACCTTTTAATATTAAGACCATCGCGGCCTTAAGTCCCCACCCTTACCCAGTTTTGTCTCTTTCCAGAACAATGATATTCACGATCCTGTCTCATGTAGTACTGTTGAAAGTAGAAAATCTGGTCCAAACATGTGGAGAAGACCTAAAACTGATCAAGGGCACAAGCTACTCAAACCTCAAGCCCACGTCTTACCAGATTTTAGGTTTTTTAAATGTGAAGAATTTAACTTTAACCAACAATTTATCTAGGTTGATTCCTTCGAATGGAACTCTTAAGGTTACTGCCTCTTTGACTGACCTCAGTCATGTATGCAGAGGAAGCCAGATAAACTTTTTGGAACATGTGCAGGTTCGAGTAAGTCTAAACTACACTTTAAGAGGGTACCTGGAGATGAGCCTCACCTCTCCACAGGGGTCAACTTCTCTTCTTCTTCAGAGTCGTACCAAAGATAATTCGCCATATGAAACGTACTTGACTAACTGGACCATTTTGACTCTGCATCATTGGGGTGAAAACCCCTTGGGAACTTGGGAACTTGCGCTGAAGAATTCACGGCCGGATCAAGAAAGTGAAGGTAGTTATTACAAAAGATTGCATTGCCTTGATTTCATGACTTTGTGTCATGTCTAACTCAGAGGCTTTCTGTAATGAAACAAAACGAAATGAAAATCTGTAATTTGCAAAATAAGAATATGTAAAAAAAAAAAAAAAAATCGTAAACATGCCAAACCTCAGGAAAATCAAAGGGCTTGGGTTAGTTCTATTTTTCCCAGCAAACGCGATATTTTATCTGGAAACATGATGCGACATTTCCAGATATGATTTCGGTCAGGCAAGTCTCATGTCACCCATTCGAATTATTCACCGGCAACGCATGCTGCCTACACCTCATATACAGTATAGCTACAGCGCCTGCTAATATTTCAAATTACATTTGCTATTTATGGCTCAATGGCGCAACTCTTCTTTCACATAGACCCTATGCATAGATTTATTGATGGATGTAGTGGAGATTTCGCAAAGAACACCACGTAGATTTTTCATTTTTCACTTTTGCTAGTGATTGTTAATATGATTATTAACAATTTACTATTTTGTAAATTACAGATATCTATTTTGCAAATCATTATCAGACTTCTATTTTACAAATTACAGATTCTAAATTGGTTTCGTTTTGTTTCATAAATCACAGTTACTCAAATCATATGTTATTGACCAAGGGTGAGGTCAAGAGGACTGAATAATGGCCGAACTGTTTTTTTCTTTTCTTTTTATAAGGTGAAGTTGAGGTCCCTAAAAACGCAAAAAAAAAAAAAAGAAAAGAAAAAGAAAAAGGTGCCACCGGGCGGTGGGTTTTAAGAGGATTTGTTTTGGTGGTGTTTCATTTGCTTTTCTGTTTGCTCGGTGGGGGATGCTTGTGCATGAGGCACAGCAGTGGTTCAATATTTAGGCGCTTATTTTACTAGTTGCAAAACACATTATAATGTCTTCTTTATATCTAAAAAAGGATAGTGATTGTAAATGCTTCTTCCTTCAACTAGTCTGATTAGTTTATGTGGTAAGAGATACAGGAGCTTTATTTTGTTAAGAATGTGGTTGTTTTGTACGGTGGCCCACAACTATCACGGCGAAAAGAAATCGCTCGCCGCCCAAAGAAAATCGCTGACGGCCAAACGAAATCGCTCACGGCCAAAAGAAATCGCTCACGGCCAAAAGAAATTGCTCACGGCGAAAAGAAATTGCTCAAGGCAAAAAGAAATTACTCACGGCAAAAAGAAATTGCTCACGGCGAAAAGAAATTGCTCACAGCGAGAATAATTTCATTTCGCGGGTATCTTTAAAACAGGGAACGGGGAATATGAGAATGGGGAAAGGGGAATGGAAAATCTTTAAAACGGGGAATCTTTAAAAGCGGGAATCTTTAAAATGAGGAATCTTTAAAAGCGAGAATCTTTAAAATGAGGAATCCTTAGAAGCGTGAAATGGAATCTACAAAATGAATGAGTGGTCTGTGGAAAAGTTGATCGTTTTTTCAATTTAAGCAAGCGAATCAAAATTCATGACTGTTGACACAAGTAAAACTACACTATAATGGAAGGGCACTCAGCACATGTTTTCAACACTCGACATAATTAAATTACTAAAATAATTCCAGCATTAGAATCGTTATGCTGATCGACATGTTTCGTTGCGGTAATTCCCTATCTAATAACAAAGCATAGTGAGCGGCTCAATTTTTTGGTGTTTGTTAAGGGAGATGACAAAACGCGGAGCCCTACTCCATGGAGTACCTTAAGCTACATGGAGTTACATGTACCTTACCTACATGGAGTACATGTACCTTACCTACATGGAGCTACATGTACCTTACCTACATGGAGTACCCCTAAAAGTCATGTATCGGTCAGATAAAATACTTTATAAACATGGTAAATCGTTTAGTTGTTCTTAATGTATTTTGATCTTGCCAGCTGTATTATTGTCACAGTTCGATACATTGTCCACGAATTGACCGCCGTCTTGAATTTAACATTAAACTGCTGGCCACTTCAAACTGAAGGCTTAATTGTAGTCCGTGAACGTTTTCTTTTATGGGCTGACTACGATCTTCATCTTATGATCTTCAAAAGGCCAAAAGCACAGACAGACTTCATTCGGCAGCGGGTTTTACGTCTTTCAAAATACCTATTTATGTAGGGTGTCTGTTAGAGGTGTGGCGTTTAATCTATTAACACAGGGCCTCATGGGTTCTTAATTGTGTGAAGCGATGAGGATAAAAGCTAGGACTTAAAAAAAGTAATTCATGTGTTTGAACTGACCTTCCCTTCACCCATCTATTTGTAGCGTAACAAAATTGAGATGTGTAAGGAAACGAAACAGGCAGCCGGCTGTTATTTGAACCCTGGGGATAATACCGAAAAACGATATAGATCAGAGTATTCAAGAATAATTGCTTATAGGGCGAAAAAATTACCCATCGAATTTTGTGCTTGTCAGTCTTCTTTTCCAACTGCTCCAGGCTGTCATCTCTTTTTGCCTTTTAACCCTCCCGTATTAACTTGTTCTTTATTCCATGTTAGTGAGGGCTTAGCCATATATAATTTGGGTTAACACGCTTGAAAGGTTCAAGAGTGTGAACGTCACCTTTCCATTCCAAATATAGAAACAGTCTTTTGGATGCATGCCTAACTTTTCGTTTTGTCTGAACAGTGAGAGCTTTTGAGAAACGTGGTATATGGAACAATTATAAAAAAGCAGCTCTTTGTTTCATGTGTGATAACACATAGTTATGGAATGTTATTGTACATATCTTGTTCAATGGGAAGTCTGTCAATAAAGTTTGCAGTGGAAGAAAAGTGCAACAATTTTTTCAAACGCGCAACCTAATTTTACTGTCAACAAATAGGGTGCCTTTCAGATAAATTGTGTTACTTCAAAAGAAATCATTGAAAACTATATATTGCTTTAATCCTTATAACGAATATACTCTTGAAATAACAAATGTTAATAACAACTGTTTCTCAACAGGAGTCCTCGTGGATTCTGCTGAAATATGATACACTGAGAGGAAATTTATTTGAACGCATTCCCAAGCCGTTGAGACAAATGTAGTTCTTTTGAACAGAGAAATAGCTACTTTGATAGAAGATTTCAACAAAAAAAGGCTAACCCCTGTTTTATATTCGAAGTACGCAGTTACATATGCAACAATGTATCAGGAAGGTTGGCTTTAACAATTACCCATGAACAATGGAAAAACAGCAAACTACATGTAGCTTCTACGTGTTGATGATACAGAGATGTATATTCTTACATGCTTATCTGCAAAATTATACACATTCTCATAGTAGCCTCAAACCAATTTCGGTCTCATCATTAGTAATTCCCGAACAGCGTTTTAGTTTGAATTTCATTGGCCTACCGGTCAGTTAAGTGATCCTTCATGATTTGCTTTGGTTCCCTGTTTACCATGAGATTCAGATTTGAGTAATCTTTATATTGTCATGCAGAGGGGCCTTCTCTGTCCTTAATTTGACTGTTGACTAATACCTAAAAAATTTACCAGAACACTCTATGAGTTTCCTGCAGGTTTAATTCTTTTCTCTTCTGTTCTAAATATGGTTAAAAGAGTTCTTCACCCCTGGAAAGAAATCGGAAAACTGGAAATTCTTGTTGGAAGGTGTTGGTTTTTCCTTGGTACATTATCTGCATTGGCAGAAATTCATTTTGAAGGGAAATGAAGTAATCTTTCACTTATCGATGAAACCTTTTATCGGCTCTGACCCAGATGACAATGGAGTTTAGATTAGCATTCGATGCAATTTCCAGTGGAATCTCAGGTTTCCTGAGAGCATTCCCAATATCAGACGGAAATGTAAGTCTGCATTGCTTGTACATTTCCCAGGTATTGTGGGACATGTTGTAGTTCCAGCGCAAAGAGAGAAATTGCAGCTGCTAGAGATGAACGAGTTGTTGCGTGAAATGCTCTGAATTCTCTTATTCTCCTTGCGTTGCTATTTGTTAATAGCAGTTAAGTACAGTTGAGTTCTTTTTCAATATTAGCAGTAGAGCAACAATTTTATGGCCAGGGGTTCAAGGCTGATTAATAATAACTTTGAGTATACCATATGATACTGTAACACGAGTCCCATAACAAACCAGCACTTCTTTTCATAGCGCAAATTAGTTTGAAACATTTGCGTGTAAAAATTGGATAGCGAAAAGGAATCCATAAGGTTGCCCTACGTGTTGATGTGAGGTTTTCACTTCTACCAAGATATTAATTTACGTTTTATTTTTCATGGTTTCTCTTAAAGTAGCGCATGTAGGACAATTTTTCCAGGTGGCACCCTACTTTTTTGACATGGATCACTTGCCAACTAACAATGAAATACTGGAAAAGAAAAAATCGTAAAAACCACTAAAAGCCTCTAATTGGAAACTTTGATAATTGACTGCGTTAAAGAGGCTTTGGCTGAATGACAGCTAAAGGAAGCAGTGAATCAGAGGAACAGTACTGGCTGAAGACCGAAAGAGGTTCCCAAGAACAGATACGAAGCCTCAACTCAGAACATATGGTTCTTTTTTTTTTATTTTCTCTAAATTGTCTGAGAAGGCGTAGTAACAGTCCCCATGAGATCCTACGCAGGAGATTGCACTATCTATCAGTTTACCGGTCTAATAATCCACAGGGTTTATAAAATAACCATGGGTTTATGGGTGTAATAAACAATAAGTTTTTGACCAATCAGGGTGCTCGTAGTATCTCAGTTATGTATTAAGGATGCTGGATATAGCCTCTTTGGCGCGCGCAGACTGGGTTCAAATTGATCCGGGACTTTTAAAAGGTTGCAAAAAAAAAAACAACAACCAAACAAACAAACATGGCCGCCGCGCTTAGGCCAAAATTATTTTTTTATCTGCCTATGTTTTACGCCTATAGGTAGGCTGCCTACACTTTCTTCTAACTTTATTAGTAGTGTGTTTCAAAAACGGAAAGCTACAACACTCTCAAGTGACCAAAATACGCGTGAATCCGGCTGCAAACACGATCGCGACCGTCGGAGCTATTTTCCCATACCGTGGCTGGTTTCTGGAACACTAAATAGGTGCTACCTACATGCAATATCTGCAGCTACGCTTCTCGTGTCAACAAGTCACTGTCAAAACTGTGAATGGTGAGAGAACATTGCTCAAAGAGAATGTCCCAGTACACTCCTAAGCGAATGTCTTCAATCTTTTACCACTTTCCTTTCCAGCAGTACGCATTGTCACACCGTTTTAATTGGCCATAATTCCTCTGTGTTCGACACTCCTACACTCCTACGATGTGCTGGAAATTCAAATAAAGAAACATTATCGTTGAAGAACGTGTTTTTCGCCGATAGCCTTCCACTCATCAAAACACTCGCCATAGGTGGTAACGCTCTTCTCAATCCTGACGGAAAACCGTATAAAAGCAAGCTGTTTTTATGAAGATTTCAACGCACAAGATGCTTTGGAATATACCTGCCCTCCACTGTATCCTCTTTCAATCCCCGTTTCAGCTAACGAGCGCTGACATTGTAAACAACAGCAATGTGAAGTCCACCTCCTTCGCTTTCGAAGACATGGAAATTCTTGACGGACGCCACGAACGCATGCAAACTTTCAAAGACAAGCTCTATTCACAGGGCGATAACGGGCTCCTCGTCAAAGAAAAAATCATTCAGAAAATTGCAGAAAGCGGCCTGTGTTACGATGACTTGAAAGATCTTTACAACAACGGTGGGAAGGAAGCACCGGTCGCCATTCTTAGCAAATCGCCAACCACGTCGCGTCGATCAGCTCCACGAGGAACACAACATCCTGACACTTTGCACAAAATAATCCAGCACTTTGAGGGCAAATAGAGCAGCAGCCATTTCCATGCGCAATCCACCCAGAGGGTAAACCTCTCTTAGCAAAATAAAGCTCTATAGAAGAGCGCGAAGGACGTTCGGCGAATAAGACGTCCAAAACCTCTTGGCGTCCGTGGCAAGTGTCGTGGTGTGACATAAATGTTGCGCATGCGCAATTGCCCATCTTGTCGAGTCGAAATTTTCGGAAATTTGAAACTTTAGACTGACGTATTTTCGTTTCCCCTCGGTGAATTTTTTTTATTTTTTGCACGTTAACCTTGAACGGCTCTGTGCGTGTTTTACAAAAATTCGAAAAAATTCTGTCAGAGGGTAAAAAAGTTAACGATGAATTCTAAAAAGGGCCTCTTTTCCTTAAACTTTCTGACAGAATTTTTTTAAACTTAACAGTCAAGTAGACCAAGGCAGTCAAAGGACGCATGCAAAATCTAAAATAAATTCACCGTCCAGTTTTTGAGAAAATTCAAGTCAAGTCTAATTTTGGACCCAGCATTGCAACCCAGCACCGTTGCAATGGCAACGAATTTTTCAATATATTTATAAACTGATTCTTCAATTATATCTTTATTTCAGGGGAAAATGTGATCGCGATTCGTTAAAGCTAAGCTTCGTAATTTTAGTTTAGATATCTTGCATCAGAAAAGTGAAAAACTATATCCAGCCTCCTTAAGTAGAGGAAACGGGTACTGTAGATGAAACACTGAAGTGACCAGCTTTATTACATTGATCTCTTTGAATACAAAGGTCATGCGTTCTGCGTTTACAAAGTGCTATCTGAAAGTAGTAGAAAATGAGGAAATGAATTGTAGCTTTCCCTTTTGTTGGGTATGAATTTTATTATTTTTTGTTCTGCGACAGGTACTTGATTCTTATAAGCCGAAGATATCTGCGTTTTCTGTTGTTTCTTTCTACACAATCATTATTACTATTGTTTTATTCTTTCCAAGGCATCCTGTTTGACTGGATTTTGATGATCTATGGTACAACAACAGATCCCCTTGACGGCCACTTACATGTTCAAATACCGACAGGACCAGTGCTCCCTCATGAGACAAAAGGTATTACTGTGCAACCTGAGGATAATCAAACAACAAATTTAGGTAATGTGTTAAATTCATGTATAAGAGGTTCAGTCTTTTGTAATTGATACTTGAAGGCATTGAGGGTTTCAGTAGCATCAGAAGCATGTAACCTCAAAGTATTCTTTTAACAATTAGCTTTTGAAAGCGAGGTGAATAGTGATATGATACCTATTTTAAGATTTCTTAGAAAGAAAAGTATTCTAATACAGAGGATGAAACATCTGGTGTAGTACTGGTGCTTGAAACATCAATCAGGACATGCGCCAAAGTAAAGACGTACATTTTTAAACTGGGCAAATCTACCCTAAAAGTTTCATAAGAAGCTGGTTTGTACAATGGTTTAAAACAGATTCGTCTGAAAGCTGTATCAAAAGCCTGCATACAAACAATCAGACTGCTTCAATAATGTTTATGCATTTTATTGACGAAATTTGTGAACACCAAAGACCAAAGATTTGTTATCATGATTAAACGATGGACGTTGGAGAGTCGTTTTTGGAATCAAAATCAGCCCTGCGTTTGATGCCCGTGAGTGCTGAAATATGGGGATTATTCTCAGTTTGATGACAAATCATTGACATTGTTTTGGGCCGACCGAAAGAGGAAGCAGTGATATTCTTATAAAGATGCCTGTCCAGGAGGTGGTTTTCCCGGACTGATCTAAACGTTTCTTTCTTGCAACATCCTGTCGTGTTTTTTTCCTGAAAGTTAACTTCATCTTTCTCCATTTCCACAGAAAATATATGTGGGATGTTTCCCTCTTAATGCAAACTAGGATTTAAAGTGAATTACTCAAACATAATCTCGTCAACATCATTTTGTTATTGTAAGAAATAGACAACTTTTTTGAGAGACATGTTTCGGCATGCTTATGCCATCTTTAATGAATGAGCAACAGAACGNTTTTTTTCTTTTTTTTTTTCTCGGAGATACTAGCCTACCTTTGGCCACTCTTAATTCGAGATGAAATAAAGTTTTATGTATGTATGAAGAAATGTTCAGCTGTTACAAGGATGTAGTTACATGTAGGTAACATGTAGGCCTTCAGTCGTAAAGTGTTGAAACATTAAGTCATAACAAACCATTCCCACACTTTCTCTCTTGGTCTACCATGTTTTTGGTACAGGGTCTACATTTGCACCTTCATCGCATAGCGCACTTGTACATAAGATGGGATCGTCAGGGCTTGCTATGAAAGGTACTTTATGCGCAATCATTTCCTTTGAGTTCTTGGTGAATTTTTTGTCCATGACATCCTGTGTTAAAGCATCGGTGAAAACAATACAAAAAAGAATCTTTTAATTGTCCAATGGATTTATCTTTTAATTGTACAATGGATTTATCTTACTTTCTGTAATAGCACACTTCCATACAAACAGTAAATGCCCTGTATGCATCTTGCCAGGATTTTACTGTAGTTCAGTGGTAGAGAATGTAATGGGCAGTAAGCATAAACTCGCAGGAGAAGACAATATTTATTAACATGACAGGGAGTAAAGTCTGGACAAGCACTTTGGAGAATGAGTGATTGGAACAAACCACTGATGCAAGCTTTTTCTGGTTTTCTGATAAACATTGCTTCATGCAATGTAATAGCAACAATATTTTGATGGGGTTTAGGAACTAAACATATCATTTCTACGTATCGTTTGACACTATGATTAACCAAGATTATACTGTGTCCCACAAAATAATTAGCCTGCAGAGCAGGCGTAATTTTGTCGAGCAAGTGCTTAGTATTTTCTTTGCAAAAATTATGGCAGTCACCTTTGATTTTAATGGAAGCGGAAGGCTGGGAAGAGAAAGACATTTGTATCAAGGGGGTGAGCGACAATGAAAACATAAGGTGGGTGGGGGAATGAATGTTGCGCGTACCCGAGGTCATTGTTGTCTTTTCGCCCCACCCCCTACCCTCAACTTTAACTCCAAATCAAACATGGCTTTCTGAATAAACAATTGCGCGCTTCTTAATGTTAACTCGCCCTACTAAGACGCCTGCGCTGCACTACCGGATAATCAACAGGATAATCACCGTGTCATGAGTGTGCATATTCTATGGAAAAGCTTGTGCTTGTCAATTACTTTAAAGAATTTCTTTGGTAATTGCGAATTGATTTCATTCTCTGAAATCATTTGCCCAAACGATGAAGAATCTTTTAGCGGCAATTACTTTTTTTTTTATTTTGATTAAATTAGATAATTTTTCATGAATATCCATCGGAACTCATCTGTTAAAATCCTAAGGCAGAAACAGCCGTTTCTGTATGAATGGGCTGTACTGTTATTCACCTAAAGCCATTTATGCTCACTGAAATATATTTAGTGATATATGGCGAGTGATAGTGAAAATTTAATACGTGATACTTTCTCTGTTTTACAGCATTTGCGTACCTATTTATAGGGTTTTCTCGTATCATCGTGATGGCCATAGTAACTTGGTGGAAAAATAAACGCCCAACTCAGATTGAGAATGGAGCACAGAGAGGGTAATTCCATTATAGCTGAGAACTTTATGGCCCTGCACTGCTTCTACAATGAAAAGTTTTGCTAAAAACGATTTAGTTCGGGAAAAGAGACATTTGTAAATTTAAGTTTAGAGAACACTTTCATGTAAATGTAATTGGTGTTCATTCTGTTTGGTAGAAAGTAGTCTGACCTGTGCAAAGATGATATGTAGTATTTAACATTGTAACTTGTTTTTCGTTCGGTAATTGTCTCGCGGGTTAGCTTTTTCGACCATAAGGTTACTACAGAAGAAGATGGATGGAGCTATTTTACCACCACCTTTAATTTAGAATACTTTTCTTTTGGATCACAACTGATATATGCATTGCATGCGGTGAGATAAGAAGGTTGAGGCTCAGCTTATAGTTACCCTCGCTAAATTGGTACAAATTTCTTTAGTGTGAGCATGGTTACGTTGTGTTGTTAAAATTTTCCACCTACTCGGTCTTGCACAAGAAATTTGCTGAGCCTTTGGAATGTGCTAATTGACTTCACTATGGTATTCTTTCCATGCTTGCTCCTCGGGTTTTGCATGTTAGTAAAAAAAATTGCCGTGCGTCCATCAGAAAATTACTAAATGTGATGAAGTTAAAGCCCTTTAAAATGAACTGTAAAACAATTATAGGTAAAACAGTTTAAGTGTAATGTTTTATGAATTTCGCTTATAAAGTATAAAAAGTATATGGTAACCTACATAATTAAGGGCATTCTTCAGAAATGGAGTTGTAAAGGTATGATTAAAAGGGAAGTAATAGTTGAGGTGATAATAAATTTTTCAATGAAGAGAAATATGCCACTGTCTCCCTGTCTCTTTTTTGTCTCTTTTTCTTGTCTTTTTTTATCTGCCACTCTTCCAAGTGCCACAATATTGGGAACTGAAATCAAGCCTGTGACCGTAGTTAAGGACCTGGGAGTGCACATTGATTGCCATCTCAACTTTAATGAGCACATCACAAAAACGGTATCTGACTGTATGTTTAAATTAACGAGAGTCAATAGGATAAAACATTTACTGGATCGAAGCACTCTGATATACCTCATAAACGCTTTCGTCTTTTGCAAACTTTTTTATTGTTCGACAGTTTGGAGCAACACAAGTAATAAGAATATCAAAAAACTTCAGTTAGTCCAGAACTACGCTTGCAGGATCGTGACTGGCTTGAAAAAGTACGATCACATCACAGAGGCACTGAAGTCTCTTAAATGGCTTAACGTAAAGAAAAAACTACTTTTTAATGACTTAGTCATGGTTTATAAATGCATCAACAACTTGACTCCTAACTATCTCTGTGAACGATTTAAACAACGTTCCGAAATTCACCAAAGAGATACCAGACAGAAGAGCGAGCTTACGTTGCCCAAGTGCAGGATCGCGGCTGGGCAAAGGGCTTTTGCCTTCCGTGGGGCTAAAAGTTATAATTTTTTACCCAAATTTATCAGAGACACAGATAGCCTAAGTGGTTTTAAAAAGAAAATTTTTAAGAATATTCTTAATTCGTAACATGTGACTTTAGTATTGAAATATAAGCTAATTTTTTTTTTTTTTTTT